AAGTAACCTATAAAAAACAATGAATAAAATACTAAGAACTGAAATATATATGGAGAATCATTTATCTGAATGCGCTATTGTCTAAATCTAGAATAAAAATCAATTCGACAATGCCATTTGCTAGACAAAAAAGAAACTAATCACAGTATATTTTTATTAATTTTTAAATAAAAAAAACAAGAAACTCCCTGAGAAGGATAAAATAAGCAAAACGTCGTAAGATCATCAAATCCGATTCTTAAAAAATTATTACTTTTTAATTCGTTGTTACTATGTTTTAATGGACTTTTTCCAAGACGGCCATGTACCCTAAAAAGGAAGGTCGGGTCGTCTGAAGTTTTTATTAAGGAACATTTAAAGGTAAAATTTTACCTTTCGAAAGGTAAAAAAGATATAACTGCGCAATGTGTTATGTGAAAGAAATGAACAAGCGTTATTGAAAAGTAATATTTTTCTTTTATTTTCTGAGCAGATTCGTGGACGCCGATCATTTCGAAAATAGTTTCTTTCCATAAGTTTATGCTAATCACACACCTTAGATCATTAAGAGGTTAGTTTTTTCGTCATAGCACACCTCGGGTATGTTATACAGCATATGCTAGACATGATAAAGTGCATAGATTTTATTTATTTTTTTTATTAAGTTGGATACCTTTTCCTTCTAAGAGTGTACTGAAGTTTAGAATATGTTGTTAGTTTGTATTAATTAGTCTCATAGTGGGCTCATAACATTAAAATAGTCACTGTAATAGGGTTCATAAAGTTATGTATAGTTATTATCTATATTTATTGTATTAGGGTGTGTGGAAGAGGAAATGTTACTTACCATAATTTTTTAAGTTATTTTTACATTGAACACACATATAGAAAAGACTAGTGTGTTTAGTAAATAACCAAATCTAACTTTCTAGTTTGTCCAAGGTTGCAGAAGAAAAGAAGGCAACTGTAGCTAAATCAGTGATAGATTGAGGCATGTTAAAAATCAACTGTTTCACGTTACAAAAATTTCTACGCCATGAAGTCTAAAATTTAAAATATATAACATCATAAATTGTTTACATATCACATGAAAAATACAAGTTTACCCCATCACTTGGTATAACTTTTTGTAACATCCTGTTCTTTGTTGTATAAATCTGTAATGAAATCCAAAAAATCATTTGTTAAAAATATTAATTTTGTTTAATTATAACAAAAAACAGTTTTCAATCTTTGAAAAATGATTTTATACTTGAAAAATAACAGTGGAAAATCATTTATCAAGTATAGAGAACAATAAAATTAAATGGTTTAAGAGAGCAAATAAGCCATTTTTATTTTCTTCAGGCTACTACCAGTATTTTCTGTCATATTTAGCAATTTCTGAACTAGATAGCATGACAAATATTAAACAAATTTAAAATAATTGCTTTTTATTAAATTTTAAAATTATCTTATTTAGATTTAATTTATTTATATTCTGTACAGTCAAATTAAAAATCTTGTAAATATATATACTAAATATGTAGAGTACTATATAATTAATTATTATTGCTATTGAAAGGATTATTTAAATTATTCAAGATTAATACTTAATTTTAAAACTTGTCAGAAATTCTTATGTCAATACAAGTTTTTTTAAAGTTATATTTTATTAATTACATAAAAAGCTGTGAAGTTTAATTTATAAACATTTTGTAATTTTTTAGTGTTTTCTTGGCAAGCTTATGGAAAAAGAGTCGATGTACAGTACAGTTTGAAGCCAGAAAAGCTGAACATTTGTGTAATAAGTTCAAAGTGAAAAAAGAATAATTTAAACGTAGTATGAAAGATAATAATTTGGACAAATATGATGGACAAAAACATTGTCAAGTCTTTTTAAAGCAGATGTCGCCAAAGTGGTCTATATGGACCTCCAGGGGTGTATGCAACATTATTGGAAGGTCGACAGTTAAAAAAGTTTGGCGACCCGTACTTTAGAAAAACTTATCTACGCACAAACGGTGATTATCTTAATAATACGCATGTATATTAGTTATTTAATTAAATAAATTGATACAATTTTATAAATTTTTATTAGTTGTTTAATAAATTTTATTAAAACAACAGCGTATCAATAAATAAACAGCTGAGAAACCATCCATATTGCTTTTAGCTGGTTACTTGTCATTCTTAAATCAAAAACTTTTATTGCCATTTTCATTCACATATATCGAAATATGTATATAATTAACGTCATATTAAGCATCATAAACGATACATTAATAATGAAGATAAAATGAAATATGTGGTATATACTGTTTAATTTAAGAATAAAGATAATACAGCACATAGCTGTAACGGGCAACTTACAATCAATAATAATATCAAAGTACAGTAACTGACAATAAATATCTAAGTATAACAACGCTGGATAATAAATTTAAACTAGAATGCACACCTTAAACACTGCGATATGACCAGTGTTATTGGTACTGTACATCTAAGAAATTATGTGTAATTATCTTAAAAATATAGCAAAGCAAAACAATAACTTATAAGGTCTGTATAGACCCGAAGATTACATTCGGGATAGTTATTTGGAAATGCGCTCCTAATTACAAGATACAAACAGTATAAATAGCGTAAATTATTCAATAATATTTATTACTTATTATGATTTTGTGTCTGCCTATTATCTACAAGGGTATCAACAAATCGTGTTACGTTAAGCAACTTCCCTTAGCCATATAGACTACTGTTACTCCTTTTCGACTTATGATTTTTCTCCTTTGCGTTAAGAGCAGGGTTGTGGAATCGCGTAAAAATCTACCGACTCCGACTCCGACCAGGGGCGGACTTGTTACCGAAAGAGACCATGAAATTCTGATGTAATCACGTGACCTCAGCATAAAAAATTCAATAAATAGAGTTCTAATAAACATATAACGTAGAAACTTTTTATTCCAAAGCTATAAGACTCCTCTAGATAATATATAAACATGTATTCGATAATTTTTACTTTTCCGGCTGTTGTATAGGGGGAGACCGGGGCAAGTTCGGCATGTTAAGCTCTACTTAAATTTTGTGTAATAAATACTGCTGTAAACTGAAAAAAAGCTTTGCATATTGTCTACTGGAATGTTACGTTATATTTTAATTCAAACATTTTTTATCGATAAGTGTTAGATAGATGACCGGCGCTACTCCATTGCTAACGGATAAGTATGATGTACGGGACAAGCCACTACTAATTTGAGGTGGAGAGCATATAGTTTAAATTAAACAGATTTAAAATACGATTAAAAATTGCAGCCGGGCGTTGAGACCGCGTCACAGTAAATAATTGCTCGTTATTATTGTAATCGTACTGATGCCAAACTTGCAATGGTATTTTTTGTTGATAGAAAAGTTTAAACATATTACTTTTATTAAATTTGTATTATTTGTTTAGCTTTAAAGTTTTAGACTTTGCGCAAGGATATTTAAACAAATTAAACGAACATGTTATAAATAAAATAAATGTAAAAAACCAAATTGAAGAAAACGATTAAGCGATAAAGCAAAAGGATGATGGAAAAAGACATATGGTAAATCGAAATTATATGATATATTACGTGCTAGATGATTTCTGCTTGCGTGCCACTTTGGGTACGCGTGTTATAGGTTCGCCCTCCTGCTCTAAACCATTGATATATATAAGTTCCAGTCTTTCAAGTGATAAAATACTGAAAGTCGTTATATAAAGATTTCCAAGAAATAACTAACAGGAAGAAATTCAACTTAAACATAAGAAAAAACCTCTCAGCCAGATCTTTAAAGTAAAAACGTTTTAACTGAAAAAATCAACAATTCTGCAGATCAAAGACTTTTCTTTTGCCTACTCAAAATTTAAAAAACGAAAAAAAATTTAACGATAATCGACATACACCAAAAAAGAAGAAAAACGTAGGAAGAGGGGGAAGTAAATTTTCCGAAGGGATTTTCACTACAACGAATTTTGACTACAGCATGCTTTTCTGCGTAAGTGCGGTGAAAATTTTTTCTTAGTTATTGTTTCATTTGAATTTTTTTTCATTTTTTTTTGTTTGCTGATTTTTAGGTTTGCTGATTTTTAGATGCTTTTTATTTTTCTGTTGTTTATGTTTTTGTATATTCGTGACACCCGAAAAATACCAAATGGCCACAGTGTCTTTTGAGATTAAAGATATATATTAATATATATATGCATTAATTAATTTTCTTATATTTTAAATGCTTATTTAAATGACCGCGATGCACCGGGACATCCAAATCGGCTTTATATATTTAACAAAACATTTCGCGTCTTCGCGCAGATGACGTTTATTTACTTTTACTGTATTTCTTGTCAGCTTTTGTTTAATGTACAGATGTTACGCTAAATCGTGAGATTTCAAAACTTTTAATGAAATCTGACAATCTTACGATTTTTTAAACAGAAAAACGAAAATTTTATATTACATAAAATATTCTTTTACTTACAATACTCGCTATTATTTATGTCTTTAACGAGCCTCGATAAAAATACAGTATATGGCATAGGTGGGGAACCTGCGGCCTCGAGGCCGCAAGCGGCTTCCGCGAGGTTCTTGTGCGGTTCTTTGCCACCTAGTACAAAATGGTAGAGTTCGTTTCAATCAACTATTGTACATCAACGCCATGACAGTTGCGCGAAAAATCCCGCCAAAGACAGTCATATTGTAACATGACGTTAGAATACTAGTCTGAAACGGACTGTAACACGCATGAGCGAGACTCTGGCCCACAGACCATCTGTTTCAGACTTGGACACTAAATGTTAATTTTTTAAACAGTTTTATTTGTTTAGTAACTAAATGAAAAAAAAACTGTTTAAAAAATTAATATTTTTTAAAAAACTGTTTAAAAAGCGCTAGCAGCGCCAACTACCTTGTCTAAGAAGTAAACAAAACTCGGTTTCAGATCTCCCATTTGAGTGTCACACCTTGCTTTGGCTTCTCTGACTCGCATCTCTAAACGCTTCCCTGTCGCGATCTTCAGCAAACTGTAGTTAACAGTGCGTGCTTATAACAGTTACACGGTTTTATTGTATTTCTAGAAAGTATACACTTTGTTAAAGATATTATTTGATATTCGTTTTTTTATCCATCATGTCAAATAGTAAGAGAAGAAAATTAGGTGATGAAAACAGAACATTTAATGTAGAATGGGAGTTAGATTTTTTCTTTACTGCTGAGAAAGATAAAATGATGTGTTTGTTGTGCAATACAGTTTTAAATACTTTAAAAAAAGCGAATGCAAATAAACACTATTTGACTCATAAAGAACATAAATATTTCGCTTTAGAAGGTGAATCACGAAAAGCTGCACTTCAAAAGTTGAAAAATGAGAAGCATCATCAGCAGGCATCTTTTAGTGCCTTTGTAAATCAAAATTCCGCTGCAGTTGCTGTTACGTATAAAATAGCACATATACTTGGAAAAAGGGGCAAACCATTTAGTGACATTGAAATAATTAAAGAATGTATTGTTGAAGCAGTGAGTATGTTAGATCCAAGAAATGTCGACAAATACAAACAATTACCTCTTTCAAGAAGAACTGTAACAGATCGACAGCACGAATTAGCGCAAAATGTAACAGAGCAACTTCATACAATTATACAAAATGAAGATGTTTATTTTTCAATTGCTTTAGATGAAAGCACTGATAAAACAAATTCGGCACAAGTTTTATATTTTATTCGTGCTATAACTAAAGATTTTCAATGTTACGAAGAACTACTTGCGTTGGGTACATTAACTGGAAGAACTCGAGGAGCCGATATTTTCAAAAACTTCAAAGAAGTATGTAATAAATTACAATTGAATGTCAGTAATTTAATCAGTGTCTGCACCGATGGCGCACCTTCCATGACAGGCAAAAAAGAAGGATTCGTTGCTTTGTTAAAAAAGGAAAACTTGAACTTGAAAAAATTGATATCATTTCACTGCATTTTGCATCAGCAAAATCTTTGCGCAAAATCTACCATTTTGCAAGACACTCTGGATAGAACCATTGCCATTGTCAACTATATTCGCGTAAATGCAATGCGTCATCGTGAATTTCGGCAGATGCTCTCTTTAGATGAGGAAACGTATAGTGTTGACCTACCATACTACTGCAAGGTTCGCTGGCTATCAACAGGTCAGGTTTTGATAAAAGTTTTGTCTTTACGACGACAAATTTTAAACTTTTATCAAGAACAAGGAAAACAATGTGATCTATCAGATGAAGTATTTCTCAGAAACCTTGCATTTTTGTCTGATATGATGACAAAACAAAACAATTTAAATATTTGCCTGCAAGGTGAAACGAGGTATATTTATGAAATGTGGCAAAAGATCCAAGCGTTTAGAAAAAAATTATCATTTTTCAAAACATTGCTTTGTCGATCGGAAATATCTGCACAACACTTCCCGGAGCTAGCTAAAATGTTAAATGAGCAGAACTGTGAAAATAAAATATTCGATGAATATGTAGGTGTCTTGGATTGTTTAATAGAAGAGTATACTAATAGATTTTCTGATTTTGACGAGCACACTCCTGCTATGAAACTGGCATTTGAACCACATTTAATAGATATATCCGAGGCTCCTGCAGAACTACAAATGGAGTTAATTGATTTAGGGGAAGATAGTATCATCAAATCCCTTTTTAACGCTAAAAAGGATCCCATAGAAATCTGGAAAAATGCTGTTGAATATCCATGCCTTCGAGAACATGCTCGCCGTTTACTTTCCTGCTTCGGAAGTACCTACTGTTGCGAGACAACATTTTCTCTCATGTCAAAAATAAAAACAAATTTAAGAACGCAAATTACAGATGCACATTTAGAGGATCAATTAAAGCTGTGTGTTACGAAGCTTGATCCAAATATACAATTACTGTCAAACAAAAAACAAAGCCAAATAAGTCACTAACTTAGTGAATAAAAAAATATTTTTTATTGTATTTTTTTATAATATTTTTATATTATTTTATATGTATATTATATTTACAATTTTGTAGTATTATATTTTATTTTTTCTATATAATGCAATAAATTGTTAAATCTGTAGAAAAACTATAATAATTTCACAAAAGTCACTTTCTTAGGTCAATCAGCTTATGCGGCCTCTCTTATTGCTGCCTAATTTAAATGTGGCCTCTAATGGTAAAAAGGTTCCCCACCTCTGGTATACGCTTAAAAGCACTTCGGTCTCCGGAGGACACTTCAAATAAACTTTCGACAATTAACAGTGTTCATTCGAGCTCGATTCTGAATAAAATACAGTAGATCCCCGTATAAGACTGGTTCCTATAATTACGATTCCTTTAAGACGGCGAAAAAAATGTAGCGGTATCTGTAAACAACGGCAAAAAACTCTTATAATTACGTATAACGTCATCGGGCAGTCGAACTACTTTCCGCCGTCCAGCGCCATGCTGCAGAAAATTTAGGCGCTTAAATTGAGTTTAGTATCGTCTGTACAGTATTATATATAAATTATATATAAATTAGGTACTGTACATATAATAACAGTTAAGCATCGTTTATTCGAAAGCTGGTTATCTGAAACGTCTGTTATATGAAAGCATTCCAGTNTCGGAAGTACCTACTGTTGCGAGACAACATTTTCTCTCATGTCAAAAATAAAAACAAATTTAAGAACGCAAATTACAGATGCACATTTAGAGGATCAATTAAAGCTGTGTGTTACGAAGCTTGATCCAAATATACAATTACTGTCAAACAAAAAACAAAGCCAAATAAGTCACTAACTTAGTGAATAAAAAAATATTTTTTATTGTATTTTTTTATGATATTTTTATATTATTTTATATGTATATTATATTTAAAATTTTGTAGTATTATATTTTATTTTTTCTATATAATGCAATAAATTGTTAAATCTGTAGAAAAACTATAATAATTTCACAAAAGTCACTTTCTTAGGTCAATCAGCTTATGCGGCCTCTCTTATTGCTGCCTAATTTAAATGTGGCCTCTAATGGTAAAAAGGTTCCCCACCTCTGGTATACGCTTAAAAGCACTTCGGTCTCCGGAGGACACTTCAAATAAACTTTCGACAATTAACAGTGTTCATTCGAGCTCGATTCTGAATAAAATACAGTAGATCCCCGTATAAGACTGGTTCCTATAATTACGATTCCTTTAAGACGGCGAAAAAAATGTAGCGGTATCTGTAAACAACGGCAAAAAACTCTTATAATTACGTATAACGTCATCGGGCAGTCGAACTACTTTCCGCCGTCCAGCGCCATGCTGCAGAAAATTTAGGCGCTTAAATTGAGTTTAGTATCGTCTGTACAGTATTATATATAAATTATATATAAATTAGGTACTGTACATATAATAACAGTTAAGCATCGTTTATTCGAAAGCTGGTTATCTGAAACGTCTGTTATATGAAAGCATTCCAGTCGGAAAATTTAAATTTTCGCTAGTGCTGTGGCGCTGCAATCTTCGGCTATTTCTCGGGCTACTCAAATATTTTACGTTTTTGATACTAAATTAACATCTGAAGTATAATTTTTTATTGTTTTTATATTTTTCAATATATTTATTTTGTTTGTACATAATAAAAAATTATTTTTAACGATACAATAATCTTCGTAATGCTTAACATCGACGAAAATTCAACACGAAGCGAGACGCAACAGAGAAAAATTTTAACGAAAAAAAATTTCAATAGGGATAAATTAATATATTTTTTCGTACATGATTCGTTATCCGAAACATAAGTTATCCGAACCACTCCAGTTCCCATTTGATTCCGATAAACGACGCTCTACTGTATATATTAATTATATATAAATTAGGTACTGTATGTATAATTATATATTAACTTAATTTATTGTAACTTTATTATAATTATATATATACTTTTTGCCGTTTAGCGCCTCGCTACTAAGAGTTTAGGCGAACTATCGTCTGTACAGTATGTAAATTAGGTACCGTAAGTCTAATACAGTACTGTAATTTTATACATTTTTTATTCAATGGCCATAAAAATTATTTATATTAATGATGTTTCCAAAGTTCATCGAAGTTTTCGCAGAAAAATAACTATCAGAAATCGCGGCTGCCCTTTGCCGCACTGTTCCGCGACAAAAATAAGCTTGATCAACTGAGTAGTCGAACGGTGCACACTCGGTAAGTAATCCTACAATTTTTTGTTTATACGGATTATTTTCAAAAAAATATACGTATTTTAAAAATGTTGAGACGAATTAGTCTAGAATCGATTAATTTTATGGAAGAAAACTTTTCAAACAGCCGTAGTCCGTAAACTTGACACATGTCAGGCTGCGTTTTCAAAAGAATTTTATTTTTCATTTTACACATTTTTTTTCAATTGAAATGTTTTTGATCAGAGAATTTCATGTAAATTTGTATTTGACAAAATGTTCATTTGTTTAGCCCTTAAATTAAGAAAATTCACACGCGTATTGAGCAATCGGAAAAGGAACAAAAGGCCGAACGCTTTCCCTAAAAAATTTCAAAAATGAAAAAGAAATGGTAAAGGAATCAACGACTGCGTTTGGCAGACTCAACAGTTGCGGAGCTGTTGAGTATTTTTATGCCGAATGCCCTGTCTTCTACAGTAGCGTTCTTTTCATGTTTTGACGTCTTTCATTTACGCTATCTATCGCATTCTTAAACTGACTAATGAAACTATTTGTTCCAACAAATACATCAGTCATCGTTCTGCAGATCCAGGTTGTTACGTAATAGCTACCGGTTTGCTTAATTACAACTGTTGAGTCCTCCGAAGCAGCCAATATAATTGCCAAGAATAAAAAATTGAAAATAGTATTATAAAAATACTCAACAACGAGTTAGATAACTTTCCCGGCAAACAAATTTAAAATTGAATATAGTACTATATCTTACGATATTTTATTTAGAAATTTTTTTAAAAAAACTACTAGCATCGATGCCTCTTATACGCGAGCTTTAGTGTTAATTTTCGTTTTTCAATCTTTACCTCAGGCCGAAATATTAAACGAAATAGATTCTAACACAAACACATTTATACACACATCCACTGAATTATTTACGTTTTTTTAATTTTTTTATGGGCTCAAAATGTCTCGAAACGTGGAGAAGTTTGCAGAAAAAACCTGTAAGTTTAAATTTGACACAATTTCAATACTTTTTCGTGTTACGTACATTATAAAGCAAGAAAAAAATTAATGATTTTATTATAAATTTTATAGTAATAAATCGGCAAAAATTTTTATCATTCGTCTGTAGTTTACGGTTAAGCCACCGGGGGGCAGCTCGTTGTTTTTTAGGATTTTTTCGGCTTCTCGCCCGACAACCCTGCTGCTTGTCTAGAAAACGTATTCGTAATCGCTACGATTGTTTATTTCTAAGCATTTCAAAGTGTTCGAAAGGAAAGAAAAGGTTAGTAAATTCGTGAGTTGTTTGATGTACATAATAAATAATAAGCACAGTTTCACGGAGGAGTAACGTCCAAGTATTAATTAAGTGTTTCTCAACGTGGGCGATATCGCCCCGTATAGGCGTTTTTTCATGTTCAAGGGGCGATTAGTAACAATTTATATTTTGGGGGCGAAAAACAATTTTCTGGGCGATATAGGTAAACATTATATTAAGAATACTTAGATATTTTATTCGTTATATCCTACAATAATTAAACAAATAACATTATACTAGTCACTATTCTATTTAATGCAGTACGAATTTGGCGTTAGTCTTGGTTCTCGGCATCGGAATTTTGTAGTGAAGGGGGCGATATTACGTAACAGTTTTATTGAAAAGGGCGATACTACGTTGAAGGGGGCGACGATTCGTTAGAGGTTGAGAAACACTATATTAATTTGCATTTAATCAACTTTAGGTAAAGTCGTCCTTATAAACTAAGAGATATTGTTACTTTTATCTTTCCAATCTTTGTTTTACAAATATCCTATGGTTTATTTATGTGCACTTATTATATAATATTTGACAAATTGTTATATGTATATTGATGTGTGACCGGGAGTGTATGAAAACATAAATGTATAAGGATTTAATAATAGGTATAATCTTATATACGGTAGACTCCACTTACGAAGAATGGGCAGTAGAAGTGCATCTAGGTAGTCCCGGTACTTCCGATACTAGGGCATTCGATTATTTAGCCCGCGTGACTGCGCAGGCTTCGAGTGGTCCTCTTGGCTGTTCGTGGCGTACTCGATGTTATTTAGTTTTGTGGAGTCGCCCCCGCTTGGGCACACGTCTGTGCTTCGCGTGTAGACTAGGTGGTAGACTGATACGTGTAAAAAATGACTTCCGCTCTTTAGAGGGCTACCTAAGTGCAATTTTACCGAATGGGCTAAACCAGTCTAGTTTCGAACTGACACGGTGTCTACTTTCAAGAGGAATATTGGAGCGCGACAGTCTTGTCGTTGGTCGCCCATATAGATATTTGTTAAAAAGTCGTATCGTTTAACTTTTCTATTTCCTGATTGCTTTTTTTTTTTTTGTTTTCTTTTAAGTATGTTTTCGACTTATTTTGATTTGTCGATTTCTTTGGAAACGGTACAAATTGAATTTCCTGCTTCGTAAAGTTTTCGAATGTTCAGAAATTTATCGGGTTCGGTTTTATTTAGCGCCTGCCACCGTGACGTGTCGATGATCTGCCGAGGAGGAATGCATTCGTCCACGCATCACGGCACATTCTGGGAGGTCTTTTATGGGAAACTGGCCCCTATTTAGGCGTTACCGACGTGAAGAAGAGCCAAAAAACTTTGCTCGGCCTGTCCGTTGGCGGGTTAAGAACTTGTCGTCGGCTGCCGGCATTTAGTAGTTTTATTTGCTTGGATGCCGGTGGGTCCAAACTTTAATTTCTGAAAACCGTTTATTGTGAGATATTTTGCTTGCAGTAAACTGTATGACTGTATCTTTAGTTAGTCATGTCACTGTATCTCCAATGTATAAGGATGGCAAGCGATGGTATGATTTTTCTTGGCTTG